ATAATGGTCTCAGAACGATGGCAAACTCCAAAGATCTACCGTTAAGTGAATATTGTGTGTTGGCTATTTAAATGCCACAATATTGCATGCCTCTACGTGTGTAAAATGGAAGAATCTAGATGACACAGTGAATGGAAGTTATCTAGATAACACAGTGAAAGGAAGGCTGTGTATGAATGACATGTGACAGGAAGGCTGTGTGTGAAGAGATTCCAGAAAGATTACAGGTCATAAAGATGGATGGCTTTCTTAAAAATGCTCCCAGAGTAGTCAACTATGATGTTATTATATAATCACCTAGCCATCGACAATTTACTGAAACTAAAAAAAAGTTTGAAAATGTCTAATTTTTATTAAGAGCTACCCATGTTCCAGGCAGGTGCTAACAGATTCACGTACATCTTCTTACTTAACTCTTATGAAAACCTTATGTGTAAGATGTTCTTTCTCCAGCGTTACCGGCAAGGAAAAAGAGTATCAGTATCAGAGAGGTTAGGTGAATTACCCAAAGATACACTGTATAGGTGCCAGAATCAGGACTGGAATTCACATTTGTCTTGCACCCAAAAAAGGGGATTGGATTCGTTTCAATTCAGATCAACCAAAGATAGAGAGATTTGTCTGCCATGACACTGCCCTGGGGTCAGGAGATGCACCCATTAGGGCGTGATTCACCATTGAAGCTCCTCTTTGCACTTAAGGGATTAACCCAGTGCTTGCCTTTAGAATTGCAAAAACTGTTTAGTGAAAGAATGGCCTCAGCATGACATGATATTGCCTTAAAATTAACATATATACGTTCCACTGAAACAGCAAAGTACAGAATTTATACTAAACACCTTATTGTGCCAAAAGCTCCAGGCCAATTTTTATTGTACTAAATCAGTTTAATCAGGGAAGCAAACCCTGAATTTTCACTGAAAAATGCAAACTTGAGGAACAAGTGGAAAATTTCTGATTTTGAATATACATAGACTTCTTAAAATATTTGCAAGTAAGGGACAAGTTAAAGAAAACAAATTATCAGACTTTTTTTCTTCTCATAGATAAGGTAATACTAGTTCGAACATTTCCTGTTAGGTTCACCAAGTATAAAAACGTATCTATAAAAACGTACATTCTTATCTATGACTTGTTGATAGTATTTATAAAATACACCAGAAAGATGCTGCCTACATTGTATCAGTAATTGATATTGTTGGTGTGCTTAAATACTGCTCAGCAAAACCCCATTACTTGTGGGCTTTTAATCCTTAATAATGGTTATTATAACTTAATACCTGCGGTATGACATTGGAAAATACAGTTTTGTTCTACTCAGGTAAAATTAACATAATATGAAATGAATTTATTCTCTTGTAAAAATAATTAATTTAATCTTTGTAAAAAAAGAGAGAAAATCAAATTTCTATCTACTACTACTGATAGTTTAAATGAGTATGTCTTTTCATCAAAATTTGCTAGTCTGTACTCAAAAAACTGATATATCCTCCAACTTAATGTAGTGTATACTTTGTCACTACATAAAAAGCAAATAGGTAATTCTTATTTCCACATAAAATTATAAAGGGATGATCAAAATTGTTCCTAATTAAATAGTATTCACTTAAAAATAACAGTTTGAAATTTTAAAACATTCACTTTATATATATTTTTGCTACTGCTTTTTCATTCACATCCTTACAGTTAATTTGTTGCCTTTAACATATATTTGCATATATTCATATATATTCACATATTCACACATATTTATTTGCAAATATTTGGTAAGCTTTCTTTCTATACTGACAGACTTAATTAATCTTTTTTTAGGTGTCCCTACGTTAATTATCATCTATACTAATAGAAGCAAATGGTGGAGAACATAGATTACATCAAGTACTCTGTATAGTTTGCATACTGCTGTGCACATTTCAGAGTACATTTATTGATAAAGTATAATTTTTGCTGCATTTAAATTAGCTTTTTCAATTTTGCATTTAAATAAATGGTGTATTACTGTGCATGCTCTAATTATAATTATTTAGGAAATGGTGCAATAAATGTTGATTGGGTGAATAAAATAACCTACTATGCCAAAAGACATCAATATATAATTATCTATTGATGAAACTACACTATGCTGTTCTTTTTTAGAAGTGCTTTTACCATCAGTGAATTTGTTGCTAGCAGTTTCAAATGCCTTTTTTTCCCCATTATTTAATGCATTTTTGCCTTCCCTATTACAAAAAAAGATTTACTGGTTCACCTGAAAGGCAGAATTATAGAGAGAGAAGGAGGGAGAGACAGGAAAATCTTACATCCACTGGTTTACTTCCCATTTAGCTGCAATGGCCTGAGCTGGGCTGGTAAGAGGCCAGAAGCCAGAATCCAAAAGCTTTTTCAGGATGCCCACATAGGTAGTTGGCCCACATATTTGGGCCAGCATCTGCCGCTTTCCTATGTCATCTGCCAGGAACTAGACTGACCAGTTGCGACTTGAATTAGTGACCATGTGGGATGCTGGTACTGCACTGCTTTGCCACAGCATCCAGCCCTACCACCATCTAAATGGCCACAGGTTGAAACTTTTTCCAGGAGGGAATCAGTTAATTCTCTTCTTCATCCACCACTGTTCTTTTCAGTGGCATCTATATTACAATCATTTCTCCTTCCTTGAACTTTTAGTTTACTACTTTGGTAATCCTTGAACAAATTCCCATAAAAACCTCTGCTCTCCTACCTCATTATATCTCAACTCGCCTAACTATGAGGGCGATGCACAGTGTGACTCCATCCTACCTTTATGACAGATACCCAAATCAAAACCTCCTCTGACAAGTGAAAATACGCACCAGTTAGCAATCAGAGACCGATCACAGATCAAAGGATATGGATTCATCATTGCTAAATGGACGAGTATAAATCTCCACAGTCTCTAGGGCTTTAAAGGGTTCCCTCATTTAGCTTTCTCAATGAAAGGATAGGCATTAATATTCTATTTTGTGACTGAGGAAATCAAGGCACAAAACAAGGAAATACCCTATCACAGATTATATGACCAATAAACTGGAACTTGAATTTACAATTTGTCTCCTAATTGTACTGAGCTATCTTCTCAAGGGCCATTAAATATATCATCTATAAGGCCTGACTCCTTATGTCCTAGCATGTACTACTGCTGAAGTTATTCACTTGAAAAATATTGCTTCTACTTAGCTGCATATTACCCATCCAAAACTGATATGTGCAGAGACTACACTTAGCCTTTTCTATGTCACCTTATGTCATCTTAACAGACCATACTGAGCTTCCCTCTAAGATATTTTAAAGAGCAATTTATTTCTATTATATATAGGTATACATATATAGGTATACATTTTATTCTTTGCTGGTTCCACTTTATTTCTTCTCTGACAAAACTGAACTCTTCTTAAGGGCGGAAATGATTTCTTGAGTCTTTCTTAAATTCCTCAATGAATACAATATGACTCTTTCTTTCAGCATTAGCATCAACAGCAGGTATACTCTGGGCCCTGTGTGACACACTGTACTTAATTAGCTCATTTAATTATCACTCAAGCTACAGGAAGCAAATGCCATTATCCTATATTACCTATGAGGTAACTGAGGCATGAAGAGATAAAGGAATAGAACAAGGTCATAAAGCTAGGTGTCAAAGATAATAAACTCAACTTTCATTTTAAGATTTATTTTTATTGGAAAGGCAGATTTACAGAGAAGGAGAGACAGATCTTCCATCCCCTGTTCTACTACCCAAACAGGTGCAATGGCTGGAGTTGAGCGAATCCGAAGCCAAGAACCAGAAGCTTCTTCCAGGTATCCCACGTGGGTGCAGGGTTCCCAGGCTTTGAGTTGTTTTCCTAGCACTAAATGAGGAGCTGAATGGGAAGTGAAGCAGCCAGGACACAAACCAGTGCCCACATGGATTCCGGTACTTGAAGTTAGAGAATTAGCTAGTTGAGTCATGGTGACAGCCTTTCTTATTGTAAGTGACACTTTCTTATTGTAAATGCCTTAATAGTTTTTTAGTCATGCCACTTGATATATCAAGTTGCTAACTCCTTGCTGCCCAAATGGAGGACCCTAATTTTCTGAATCACAGCTTTGGTTTGGCTCATCCCTGGTCTTGTGGACATTTGTGGGCAGTAGGTGAGAATTCTCTTCCTCTTTCACTCTCTCTGACTCAAAATTTACAAAAACAACAACAACAACAATTTACAAAAACAACAATAATCAAATATTACATCATGGCCTTTTCCTTCTAATCTCCAATTCTCCCAAAACGAAACCTTAGTACATGTGTTTTTTATGGATATAACTTGAAAGATACAACTTTACAACTGCTTGGTTTTCTTTCTTCAGTCACTGAGCAGCATGCTGATATTGAGTTTCATCTTATCACCAACTCTATTCTAATTATTTTCATCATCTTAGCTAAAGCTATATACTTCCAAGGGAAAGATTCAGTTTTGCAAATATATTTACCAGTATATGTATATGAAAAATGTCATTTCCTAGTTTTCTACATTGTAATAGTGCTGCCAAAATCTAAAGCAACTTCAAATTTTCAAGTCCCTAGGAAGAATGTTAATATTGCATTTTGAAATGATACACAACAAAATAAATTTAAAATCCAAGGCTCATCTCCCCATACCAGTTTCCACTTTCTACCTCACACTCTTCTCACCACACCATCACCCAGGACATAACACAAAATGGTAAAATAAATGAAGAAAAAAAAAAGAATGTTTCAAAAACCAATTTCAAAAGGACTATTTCAAAAAACTTGTGTTAGGGATCAAAATTTCCGAGTACTCAGGATAATCTGATAAGAAATACAGAGAGCATCACACACACAAGCTTTGATGTAAGTAATGAATAATTTTGTGAATTTTCTGCCAAAACCACAATTAAACAATTATTTATAGTTCAAAAATAACTGAGTGTGATCATTTTATATTTTATCCATGGTCTTAAAAATTGGAAAATCTTCATACCTTTGTTTATATCAATGAGTTGTTTCTTTTTCTTCTGGCGTTCCAACTTTTCTTGTTCAGCTTTCTCTTTTGCAAGCTTTGCCCTCCTAGTTTTCTCTTCCATTTCTCTTCTCTTATTGTTTTCTTTCACTGCTTCCTATATATATAAAGAAAGCTGGATTAAACTCCTTGACTTCCTTTTATAATTGAGAAGGTGCATGATTTAAAAATTACGTAGGTACACAGAGACGGCAAGGTATTAAATCAATTTTGAGATGCACGCATATGTGTTTCAGAGAGATAAATAATTGATCTTAGGTAAACTCTTCCTGAAAAAAATACAAAAGTGCTTCATTCCTTACTTGGCATTACTTGCGACGCTAGAAAATGAGGCACACCAATAATGCAGCAGATTTAAGACTAAACACTCTCTTCATTTCTGAAACATGAAATAGTTTTGATATACAAGAAAAAGCTTAGTATGGAAATATGGCATTGTAGACATTTTAGCACTCAACTGCATATTTTTCTGCTATCAGCAAAATGGAGATTTATAAAAACTATCTCAAAATTTCTGTGAGGAAAATTGAGAATCATGTATTCGGTATTTAGAGTAGATCCTGCTATTCCATAATCAAGAAATCTTAGTCTATGCTGATAAAAGTGATGGTTACAGGGATAGTGGTAATGATTGCCTCTAATGATACAGGGCATGAAACAATCAGCAGTACTGCCAGAAAAGAAACACTGTCACTTTTTATGTGCTAAGATATCCCGAAGCATTGAAACATATTCTAAGTTATTGTCTGTTTTATCTTAGATTGATTAACTGAGAGGCTTCAGTGACTGAGTACATTCTAGTAGATGGTGTTAGACAAAGTTATAAGTGATCAGCTAGAAAATACTGACTTCCTTTTGGTTTAGACATGTCAATAATACAGACATATCAACTAAAAACTCCTGGCATCAACTTTTGCTCTCATATTTTCCTTCTATGATTTATTAGATACACTTATAGCATGCTATTTCTCAAAAAAAAAAAAAACTATTTTTGTTTTAGAAAGCCTAAAGAAAAACATTCAATAACAAAATATATCTACAAGGTTTTGCCTGGAGGAGTCTATACTGAAATGATTTTCTTCATATTATAAGACAAAATAGTTTCAAATAGCCTTGAAAACACTTCCAAAAAGTTCTTGACATGCAAGAATTGATTTTCTTCTACAAAATTTTCATTTGCACACACCCCCTTTTCTACTGCCAATGTTAAGCTAATACCAAAGTTATCGGCAAAGATCATAAGACTAAATCACTTCTTCAGACAAACGCAAAGGCTACTACTTAACCTGGGAAACAAAAATCATGATTTCAGAGCAAATTTTTAAACTCAGCACTACTGAAATTTTGGATTGGATAAATCTTTGCTGTAGGAGGCTGTCCTATGCATTATAGGAAAACCAGGTATATCTCTCGCCTCTATTTATTACATATCAGTTGCAACCTTCACTAGCTATGACAATCAAAAATGTCTCCACAGATTTCCAAATGTTACCTGAAGGGAAAAATTTATCACAGGTTGAGAAGTACTAACTTATAGGGTACACAAACCTATCATTCACAAAAACAAAACAGTGCTTACTATATCAAGCTTGTTTTTAGAGAAGTGGAAAATGAATTCTGAGTGACTAAATGCTTGCCTGAGGTCACATATTTATGTAGTTGCAATTTTGGAAAGAGAATTCACATATTTTCCCTCCTAATTTAGCATTGGTTTTATTCTTCAAGAAAGAAAAGACAATGTGGTTCTGGCAAAGACAACCGAAAATAAAATAGGCAAATAAAATTTCATTGAAATACTAATTTTTAAAAAGTTCATGAAAAGGCATTATCAAGAAAGTGAAAAGACAATCCACAGTGTGGGAGTAAATATTTAGAAACCTACATGTCACAAGAATATATAGGTGAACATAAGAGAGACAAATGCTTCAGTTAAAAAGAGCAAGGGGGTGCAGGCTCTGTGTTACTGCAGGTTAGGCAGCTGCTTGTGATTCCTGTATTCCATATATAAGCATCTGAGATCAAGTTCCATCTCTACTTGTGATCCAAAATTCCTGCTAAACACACACTGGGAGGCACATGGGTTCCTACCACCCAAATGAGAAACCTAGATAGAGTTCCCAGCTCTTTGGTTTTGCCTACCTAAACCATTTCTGTTACAGTTTCAGTCTCTCTCTCTCTCTTAATATCTCTACCAGTCATTCTGCCATTGAAATAAATAAAAATGAATAAATTTAAGAAAACAACAGACAAAGGACTTGAGTAGATGTTTCTCCAAAGTCGACATAGGTATGGTCAACAGGACGTGAAAAAATACTCAGCATCATTAATCACTAGGCAAATGCAACTCAAAACTGCAATAACATACCACATCATATCTACTAGGAAGGCAGCAGTAATATCAATCATAATCATAATCAGATAATAATGAGCAAAAATACATAGAAAGAGAAGCTTTTGTGTATTGCTGGAATAAACTTCAAATGGTGACCATTTAGAAACATGTCCGGCAATCTCTCAAAGTGTTAAACAAAACTGTCCAATAATTTCACTTCTACTTATACACACAAGAGAAAAGAAAATATATGTTCATGCAAAAACTTGTCTAAGAACGTACACAGCAAACTTATTCCAAATATTCATTTAGTAAAAGCAACCTAAATGTTAAGGTTTGAATGAACCCAACAAACTCAAATATACTGTGTTAGAATGAACAGATGATATATGTACATGACTGAGTAGCATTTAGCCATAAAGCAATGAAATACTGAGAGAGAAATATTGATCTTCCAATTGCTGGTTCATTCCTCAAACACTGGCAACAGCTGGGTCTAGGGCAGTTGGAATCCAGGAACCACAGATTCCACCTGGATGTCCCACGTCAGTTGGTAGGGGCCCAATTACTTGGGTCATTATCCACTGCCTCCCAAGTGCATTAGCATGGAACGGAACTGGAAGCACAGAGTAGCTGAGACTCAGGACAGGCACTACGGTTAAGCAATGTGGCTATCTCCAACTGTGTTTCAATCCATTAGGCCACAACACTCAATCATAATAATCTGCATTTATGTTTCTTTTTATTCTGACAATAACAGCTGCCTTTCATTGAAAATGTATTATGTACTAGGCATTTTAACTACATAATTTCTAATTTTTGTAAAAAAATTATAGCTATTTTTAGTTCTCAATGTATACATGATGAAACTAAGGTTCAAGTAGATTAAGTGACATTCTCAAGGCTACTGCTACTTAACTACCAGTGTTACCCAGGCTTTTTGGGGATCTGTAACCATGTTGTTACCATTGCATTGATGCCTCCCAGGTAGAATGCCAGGCTCACCACTGACATTTGAATGTCATATATACCATTAATATTTTTGTTGATTTCAGCATGTTCTACACAGTATTTGGGACATTTGTAAAGCAATGCATATGGGATTTGGCATAGACTGATATTAAAACAAATGCAGTTTATCTGAAATCCAACTTTAATTAGGTACCGTAGATTTTAATTTGATACACTTGGCATTCATATTCCCAGTCCTGTATTTATATCTTAATAATTTTTAATCATTTATTTTGATTTTCTTTGAAGATGGAGACACAGACAGACACAGAGAATTTGAATCTGCCGTTTTATTCTCCAAATGCACAAAAGTCAGGACGGGCCCAGAATAAAGCCAGGTCCCCTATGTGGGTGGTAGTGGTCCAGTTAAATGAACCATCATCTGTTGTCTTTCAGGGTGTACAGGAAGCTGGAATAGAAACATTGATGCTGGGACTGGAACATAGGTATTCCAACAAGGAATGTGGGCATTCTAAGCAGCAATTTCACGGCTGTGCCATATGGTGGTCTGTGAGTTCATTTCTTGTAAGCATCCTTTGACAGACTAAGATCATTTAATAAAAGAGCAGTCACGATGGCCAAAAACACCCTGTCCAAATTTAAACTATATTTTGAGACTATAAATTTTGATACAGCTTCCTGGTTGCCATTACGTTGTCCATATATTTAAGTCATTCATACTATTTCAGTAAAATTTAAGTTACACTTTATATAAAATCAAAACTTATGTAATTTGGGGTAAAAGAAGAAGATGAGGTACTAATGAATGTCAAACTCGAATGCAGACATTGGGGCATACACAAATAGGTTACGAGAGGGAAACTTGTAACAGGCACTACTAAAACAACATGAATGCAATCTAGTAAAGGATCAAAGAGACTTTATAATAAGTCCATCAGTTTACATCATAAATGTTTCAAGAACTGACTTAACTACAAAACAATCACGAAATTTGTAATGGCACATGTAATCCTAAAGAGGCCAAAAGAGAAGGGGTGATTTCAGTAGTTTGGCATTTAATGAAAAAAAAAAAAGTACCTATAAGAGCTTATATTTCTCAAGCAACACAGCTTGGGTAGTTAAGATTCTGGTCCTGACACTGCTAGTTCACTGCCTCACGCTGAAGAGAAGTCCTATCCCTCTTGGCATTTTTGGTCTTAGGCTCTGGCTTTGGGAAATTAGAAATGGGGAACACATGCTTGTTTAATTCACTCTCCTTGAGAAAAACTAATAAATGAGAATGGAAAATCTTTACGATGGTTTCATATCGTGAATCTCCACTTGTACTAGAGTTAAAGATAAGAAATTTCAGGACATTGTTTAACTCTGCTAAAAAATGTAAAGGTTGATAAGGAAAGAAGTCTTTTGAGAGATGGGATGTATTCTTATCATTTCAAGTCTTACATAATGGAGAGCAAATAATTAAAAGAACAAAAGCAACAGAGGCAAATGTAAGGTCAGTTTTTTTTCTACTCTTTTAAATAATTGAAACTAACAATACATGTTTCCAGTTTCAACATTTAAAACATTAACTTGTGAGACCTTAGACACTGTTTTCAAGTAAAGCATCAGTCACTGTTGCTCAGGTTGAGAATATTAACCAATGAGATTGTTTCACTGTATGAAGACAGTGTTTTGTTAAAAAAGATGCTAACTGAAAAACTGTTTTGATACAAGTGTTTTGATACCTCATACAAGATAAGAAATATGTTTACAGAAAAAAAGCCTCAGTTACGTGGGCATAGTTTTCAAAG